AAAATCTGTCGCTTGAAATCTTTAGCAAAGATTACAAAGAAATATTTAGAAATTATTATATGCTACTAGGGATACTTCAACCGTGCATAATCGGAAACGTATGATCACTGTTGATTAAAATAATACTTTAAAAAGTAGCCGTTTCGTCGTTAATTTATTCGGTCAATTTGATCCGTCCTCGACTTAGAAATGTCTCCTCACTTCCGCTTATTGCATTAAAAGGGGACATATTCCTGCGAATAACCCATGCTCTGTGTATGGACAGTAATGCCAATGCTTCTCGGTACTCCCGACTTATTAGGTAATCGAAAAGGTAGCTCGAGGTTACCAATCGATGCTTCACTCGCGAGATTGCTCGTCCTAGCATTACGTTAAATCGAGATACCTCCCCGAATTCCTTAGGAAGATTTCCATATCTCTAAAAAAGGCGTGCCACTTCCAGCTCGACGGTTTTAGGTGAAGTCAAACACGTCGAGGAACTCGATCGACGTCGATAAAGAAGATTTTTCTAAATACCTACGTTGCCGGCGTTGGTTTTTATATTATAAGCTGGGTCGAATTATATTGCGTATTGTACCAAATGGCATACTACACCTATCGTTTTCATACAATAATTATAAAGAAATCGAAGTGAAACTCCAGAAATCCCCTGGATTCGTGCTTTCTGGGGCCCTAGTTGACTGCAGAGGGACGCCCTGCGCCATCTGTGATTTCCAGGTCAATTAAATTTTCACTGCGAGACCTCGTATTCCCATCGTTTTAGCATAGAAGCGCATAAGACACTTTTTTTTTGCCTTTATTTCGTTCAAATGCGAGTTTATCGATTACCAGAGTGTTCTAAATTGTCGTAAAATTGTCCTGATCCTTACGATTCTCATATCAAAGCCTTCGATAATTGTATATTGATCGAAATATGAGAGTTCGACGCCATTTTTGTACTGGTCTGGACTGAGTTAAAAAATTTTGTTAAAAAATCCAAATTTTGAATGTGTCAGGACAATTCTTAGATTATCAGGAGTGATGTGTCAAAGTTTCGGACAGTTTTGTCCAATACCCTTAAAAGAAAGTGTTGTATTCGAATCGACTGATTTGAAGGCTAAGGCTCTGATATGAGAAACGAAATGGTCAGGACAATATTACGACAATTTAGAACACTCTGGTAATCGATAAACTCGCATTTGAACGGGATAAAGGCAAAAAAAGTGTCTGATGCGCTTCTATGCTAAAACGATGGAAATACGAGGTCTCGGAGTGAAAATATAATAGACCTGGAAATCACAGATGGCGCAGGGGGTCCCTCTGCAATCAACTAGGACTCAAGAAAGCACGAATCCAGAGGATTTCTGGAGTTTGACTTCGATTTCTTTATAACTATTGTACGAAAAGGATAAGTGGAGTATGCCATTTGGTACAATATCCAATATAGTTCGACCCAGCAGTGAATATAAAAACGATCGTCGACAACGTAGGCATTTATAAAAATCTTCTCTATCGACGTCGATCAAGTTCCTCGACGTGTTTCACTTCACCTTAAGAAACGCGAACGGCGCAACAAGGGCCGATCTATTTACCCTGAGTGCGGGAATTGCAGGCGAGATGAATCTTCCTCGACTTGTCGGGCATTTCGGAGTAACCAGCCGATGCGGAATACTCGACTTGCGAAAACGCGCATTCTTCTCGGGGAGATTGGCGAAGTTCTCGAGGACTCCCGGAGCCGAGTCCCGGGGGTCCTCGCGTTTACGATCCGGAGGAAATTTAACGCTCACTCATTATGGGACCTCTAATAATGCGGAGCATCGTGCCAGACTCGAGCAATGACGGAACTATGCGGAGATTATGAAGACCCCCCTCGGTATTCCCCTCGAATCGGTTACGATCCTCGAGATTCGGATCCTGAGGTATTCCCACGACCTCCTTTTGAGGTCCGTAAAACCTGCCCAACCTATCCTCACCTGCGGTCTCGGGAATGGCTCAACACTGAAAAAGAGACTCGGCTTTAAGGTGAAGTAAAACACGTCGAGATAAAGAAAATTATTCTAAATATCTACGTTGCCGATGTTTATTTTTATATCGACAGCTGGGTCGAATTATATTGGATATTGTACCAAATGGCATACTCCACCCGTTGTATTCGTACAATAAGTATGAAGAAATCGAAGTAAAACTCCAGAAATCCTCTGAATTCGTGCTTTCTGGGGCCCTAATTGACTGCAGAGGGACCCCCTGCGCCATCTGTGATTTCCAGGTCAATTAAATTTTCACTCCGAGACCTCGTATTACCATCGTTTTAGCATAGAAGCGCATAAAACACTTTTTTTGCCCTTATCTCGATCAAATGCGAGTTTATCGATTACCAGAGTGTTCTAAATTGTCGTAAAATTGTCCTGACCCTTTCGTTTCTCATATCAGAGCCTTCGATAATTGTATATTGCTCGAGATATGAGTCTTTGTATTTCCCCGTTGACACAGTTTGCGTAAATGCTTTCGTTACTGCTCCTGCCTTATTCTTTTATTAAAATGACTATATGAAATAAAAAATACAAAACAGTTATACCCAAAACAACCAGCATGGCATTTTGTTAAAGAATGATTAAGAATAATTAGTAATCTATGATCATTTTTTTCGGCTTGGAATTTTTTAGAGAGTAATACAATGTTATGATTTGTAATCTGGTGGTAGTTAGTTTTTTTTTTCGACCTCGAATTGAATTGATTTTTTTTTATGGACTTTCTCCGTTCCAGGGGAGGGTCTTTCTTGAAAGATCCATCTATCTAGGTGTCTATTGACTTACGGACGAATTTCAGCTTCAAACCGAGGTCCTCGATGATCGAAGCATCACGCTTGGCCCAGTCGATGACCGGATCGATTATGACCGCCTCTCTGGTTCCAATGTCAGCCAACATGTACGTATATGTGCAAGAAGTTGGATCGAAGAGCTACGAACAAGTTCGATCACCTTACGCTTCGACTGGAAACGATATTTCAATCAGCATGAGATTAGTTAGGTACTTTTTCCATTTTACTTCGCCCCTGGTAAGTCTTCCCTAGTAGCATGGAATAATTTATAAATATTTCTTTGCAATCTTTCCTAAGCATCTCAAGCGACAGATTTTTTCAGATTTCTTACAGATTTCATTCGAAGATATTTGAAATATTTCTTGAAAATCTCAATGACATATTTAGCTTCAATAATTTATACACATATAGAGAAATTATATCTTTTAACTTATTAACATAACTAAAATACATTTTTTACTTCACGACTATTGTCGGACACTTCATTTGGTATCAAAAAACAAGAAATTTTTCTAACATATTCGTTACGGTATTTCATTATGGGAGCAAAACGTGTCAATTTCATATTAAATATTTTTAAAACGTTTATAATGTATTCGGCAGATAATATTTGAACCCCGAGACCTCGTATTATCATCGTTTTAGCAAAGAAGCGTTTACAACACTTTGTTTGCCTTTATTCCGTTCAAATGCGAGTTTACCGATTTCTAGAGTGTTCTAAATTGTTGTAAAATTGTCCTGACCCTTTCGTTTCTCATATCAGAGCCTTCGATAATTGTATATTGCTCGAGATATGAGTCTTTGTATTTCCCCGTTGACACAGTTTGCGTAAATGCTTTCGTTACTGCTCCTGCCTTATTCTTTTATTAAAATGACTATATGAAATAAAAAATACAAAACAGTTATACCCAAAACAACCAGCATGGCATTTTGTTAAAGAATGATTAAGAATAATTAGTAATCTATGATCATTTTTTTCGGCTTGGAATTTTTTAGAGAGTAATACAATGTTATGATTTGTAATCTGGTGGTAGTTAGTTTTTTTTTTCGACCTCGAATTGAATTGATTTTTTTTTATGGACTTTCTCCGTTCCAGGGGAGGGTCTTTCTTGAAAGATCCATCTATCTAGGTGTCTATTGACTTACGGACGAATTTCAGCTTCAAACCGAGGTCCTCGATGATCGAAGCATCACGCTTGGCCCAGTCGATGACCGGATCGATTATGACCGCCTCTCTGGTTCCAATGTCAGCCAACATGTACGTATATGTGCAAGAAGTTGGATCGAAGAGCTACGAACAAGTTCGATCACCTTACGCTTCGACTGGAAACGATATTTCAATCAGCATGAGATTAGTTAGGTACTTTTTCCATTTTACTTCGCCCCTGGTAAGTCTTCCCTAGTAGCATGGAATAATTTATAAATATTTCTTTGCAATCTTTCCTAAGCATCTCAAGCGACAGATTTTTTCAGATTTCTTACAGATTTCATTCGAAGATATTTGAAATATTTCTTGAAAATCTCAATGACATATTTAGCTTCAATAATTTATACACATATAGAGAAATTATATCTTTTAACTTATTAACATAATAAAAATACATTTTTTACTTCACGACTATTATCGGACACTTCATTTGGTATCAAAAAACACGAGAAATTTTTNTGGTCCAATACCCTTAAAAAAAAGTGTTGTATTCGAATCGACTGATTTGAAGGGTGCTTCACTTCACCTTAATAGCCAATGAGAATCTTTCTTATAGGTAAATAGGAGGACTCTCATTGGCTATTGACGATATTGCGCATGCGCTTTGCATATTTAGTTTGAGGTAATATACTTCGTTCCTGCGTAGAAAACTAGAGACGTATTATACGTTGTAATATACATGTAGAAAACCACGTATATTACTTGACGTATTATACTTACCCAACTCTGGGCATTTATTACGTATTTTTCACGAGAGCGCTCACTTCTCGCACTTTCATCTCACGTGGGTTTATTCGCCGAATTACGTATTCGCTATATGAAACAATGAGATTACTAGCACTTCCGATCTAGTAATATTGCCGAATAAAGGTATATACCATGTAAATCGAAAATTGTTGATTGGTAGGGGTTTAAGACAAGAATGGCGGGAAGATGGAAAACCGTTAAAAGTAAAGATGAGGACTCGAGTCTATCTACATTTTTTAAATATGTATTACATTCATATTTACATGTACTATAATTAGAAGTTCCCCAATATAATTTTCTTATCATGTCATGTAAGCATGAATTATCTGACAGTTTTCAATGTTTAATAATGTAATATAACCTCGCAATAACAAAAACTAACCTGTACATCCTAGTAAATTCTCTTTCTTCTAACGAAAATGGGTCTGAGGCATCACATAATTCCCTTCTTCTTCTAATAAGGTTATTATTAGGTCCGTTATTATTACGAGGTAAATAGGTGGATTCTCATTGGCTATTGACGATATTGCGCATGCGCTTTGCCCATTTAGTTTGGGGTAATATACTTCGCGCCTGCGTAGAAAACTAGGGACGTATTATACGTTGTAATATACGTGTAGAAAACCACGTATATTACTTTGCGTATTATACTTACCCAACCCTGTCTATAATGCACGTGGCTACACATCTATACGATACGCAGATGGCGCGCGCATGCGCAGTACGTACGCGAAGGCGTTCGCGACGCACTAGCGACTCACCTGGCGAAACAGGAAGTCCTTCGAAAACGGTATCTGTTCCATTAAGGTATCTCTCCCTAGACTTCGTTGCGTAATCGATCTCCAGAACGTATCATACTGTAGCTTATATCTGCTGCACCGTCCAGCGATTCTATGCATTTGTTTACAATTGTCAATACCTTGTCTACAGATGCAATCGTTAGCAGAACCACTGGTCACGTAGTGCGAGATTGTATGTCACTGATTTGATTACGAAGCAATGGCGCGGCCGTCGGCTTTCTCGGTAAAGTAGATTGATGAAAGGTCGGTATGCGCCGAAGGAGCGAAACTGTCTTATCGACGCCGGATTTTATTTTATAGCCGTCTCGAATCGTTATCATTGAGTCAGGCAGCAGCTAAGAGGGGATCGCGGGACTTAACCTCCTTATCTGATTTTCCGAAGGCCACGAGCAGGGTTGGGTAAGTATAATCAGAGATGATATAATACGTCAAGTAATATACGTGGTTTTCTCGGCGTATATTGCAACGTATAATATGTCAAAGTATAATACGTCATGTAGTATATTGCTCACGTGCAGGGTCGCGCGATCGCACCGTGTGCTGCCCTCTGATTTCGTACGNAAACTGAATATGTCATTGAGATTTTCACCAAATATTTCAAATATCTTCGAATGAAATCTGCAAGAAATCTTATAAAATCTTTCGCTTGAGATACTTAGCAAAGATTACAAGGAAATATTTAGAAATTATTCTATGCCACTGGGGAACTGGGATGTTTTTAGGGCAGGAGTTTAGATGGAATTGGAACTCTTTTAAGTGCGTGAAGCTAATGTTGATGGACACAGGAGAATCAAATGAATGAAATTCTTCCCGAAAAAGGATGGAAATCTCCCGTTCGATCGAGACGCTGGAGCGGATGAACGCTGCCCCGATGGGATAGCTCGGGATGCTTCCGGACTGGTCTGGATTCGTCCGCGGGGAAAATTGCTGGACTTGGCAACCGGAATCACCCTCTGGAAATCGAGATCCTGCCCCCGCGTCTTACGTCACATACCGGAGCCAGCTTTTGATTTTCAATAGGCGACCAGATAATCCCCTTCGAGCCAGCCCGATCCCTTATACTTTGATTCCAGAGTCGCGGAGGAACCGACGAGATACTTAACAAACCATCCGAACCGACTGGCCGCATTTTGATGGGGAATTTCCATATCTCCGAAGAAATCCCCCTAGGTAACGTAATATAATCCTAACAATGAATCTCATACGTCGCTTAATAAACGACAAAAGCATTTCCTCACTGAAGACCTGGTTCAAGTTAGCGTTGCCTCCATCATGTAATTTAGGAAAAAATATTTTACGTCCTACTTGTTAAGGTAAACTTTTCGCGCATATACCGCGCTGACAAGGTTTCGCATTTACATGTGCTGATATACGTATTTGACGTGAAAATTTAGCCAGTTTCGTGATTGAAAATAATGTAACAATAACTTCATAAACAATTGAATAACCGATCAAGCATTTCCTTACTCGAAGACCTGGCTTAAGGTGAACTGAAACCCCCCACAAATCAGTCGATTCGAATACAACACTTTTTTTTTAAGGGTATTGGACCAAACTGTCCGAAACTTTGACACGTCACTCCTGATCACCTAAAAATTGTCCTGACACATTCAAAATTTAGATTTTTGAAATACATTTTTTAACTAAGACCAGACCAGAATCAAAATGCCGCCGAGCTTTTGCATTTCTATCAATATACAATTATCGAAGGCTCTGATATGAGAAACGAAAGGGCCAGGACAATTATTCAACAATTTGGAACCCTCTGGTAATCGATAAACTCGCATTTGAACGGGATAAAGGCAAAAAAAGTGTCTTATGCGCTTCTATGCCAAAACGATGGGAATACGAGGTCTCGGAGTGAAAATTTAATTGACCTGGAAATCACAGATGGCGCAGGGGGTCCCTCTGCAGTCAATTAGGGCCTCAAAAAGCACGAATCCAGGGGATTTCTGGGGTTTTACTTCGATTTCTTTATAATTATTATACGAAGACGACAGGTGGAGTATGCCATTTAGTACAATACCGAATATAATACGACACAGCTATCAATATAAAAACGAACGTCGGCAACGTAGGTATTTAAAAAAATCTTCTTTATAGACGTCGATCAAGTTCCTCGACGTGTTTCACTTCACCTTAAGGCGTTACTTCTGACAGTTTTTCGTCAATTCTTTCATTCGGGTGGAAAGGATCGATTATCAAATCCTTATCTAACCTTCTGTGTGTCCAGGCGTGGGAAGGACCTTCAGCTGGTGTCTTCCGAATGCGACCTCGTCCTCGGCGTCCAACAAAATGTCCGCCCTGGCTCCGCTGGTGCGAGATATCATCGATCGACAGCCTGGCAGTAACGATTTCAATCTTCCAGTGCCGGTTATATGATCCGCGTGCATATGGGTGTTCACTGAGGCATTCCCAAAAACAGAGGGTTCAATATTCAAGCGGAATGTCCCCTAGTAGCATAGAATAATTTCTAAATATTTCTTCGTAATCTTTGCTAAATATCATAAGCAACAGATTTTTTAAGATTTCTTGTAGATTTCATTCCAAGATATTTGAAATATTTCTTAAAAATCTCAATGTCATGTTTAGTTTCAATAATTTATAAA